TTTTTAAAATGTTTGTTTTTATTTTAATGTGGTAAATATTGTTAGGTATTACTTATATAAATGCAAGTTCTTTGGGGTTATTTTTTATTATTTTTATTTTTGTGGTACCGGAGTTAGAACACAGAGATTGAACCCTGAGTTACCTCCCCAGCCCTTTTTAAATTTTGAGACAGTTTCTCTAAATTGCTGAATTGCCTGGGCTTGAACTTTTAATCTTCCTGCCCCAGGCTCCCAGATTATTGGCATGACCCAGCATGCCTGGCACTGGGGTCCTTACTTTTAAGTCAGTAAGGAGGGTGGGTGCAGTGGTATATGCCTATAATCCCAGCACTCTGGGAGCCTGAGGCAGGAGGATCATACATTTGAGTCCAGCCTGGGCAGCTAAGTGATTCAGCTTGACCATCTCTCAAAATAAAAAGGTCTGGAAATGCAGCTCAGTGTGAAAGTCCTTAGTTCAATCCCAAGCCACAGACAGACAGACAGACACACACACACACACACACACACACACACGCACGCACACGCACACGGACACATACACACAGAGAAAGGGGTCCTAAGACCAAACCATCTGAGAACTGGCAAACTGGCAAGCTGGGAGATGGACGTTCAGAGGTGGGAATAGCTGGACACGATGGTGGCTTGAGTTTCAACACCTAGGACAGGACACAGGACCCTGGAGAGACCGTGATGGGATTTCTACTGCAGTGAAGAAGCATGGTTCTACTAAATGCTGAGCTTGAATGAGTGAGAAATGATGACACAGCAAGTACACAGATCAAACCTGATCTTGAAATTTGTACTGATTCTCCCTTATCTGGGCCAGTCTTTATCAGAGAACACTAACATTAATTATGGGTCAGAAACGCACACATAGTGAAGTCCAGGTGGGGAGGGTATTTATTTATTTAGAGGTACTGTAGAGGATGAAGTTGGCAAAGAACATAATTGAAAGATTTTGGGGATAGTACAGTAGTAAGTACAGTCCCAAGAGTTTCAGGTTTGTCTTCCCACGTCGGTCTCCTTCCCCCACCCCCCAAGCTGGTTCAGTTAGGGCTAATTCGGCTCATTAAGTAGCACACCTGCCCCCTTGTGGCCATATGGCCCAGTGACATTCCCCCGCCCGCTGAGATCAGGAGGCGGGGGCAAAGAGAGCAGTCCGAGATCAGTGTGAGATCAATCCAGAGTCCCGCAAAGATCATTGCTCAGAGCGTGAAGAAAATGCCACCTCCTTGATGGACACTTCTTTGACCATCCCTCGCTCTGCCATCCAGTAATAATGCAGCTGGCCATTCCGATTGATGACTACATGCCCTGTACTGTGATAGATGCTTTTCACAGATCACAGCACAACAGCAAACCTACAAGGTAGCTACTATGGTTGCTTTTTTGGGTGGAATTTCCTTCTTTTTTTCTTTCTTTCTTTCTTTCTTTTTTTTTTTTAACTGGGGATTTAACCCAGGGTCTTTGCACTGAGCTATATCTGCTCCTCCCCTCTTTAAATTTTGAGACAGGGTCTCACCAGGTGGCTAAATTGCCCAGGCTAGCTCAAACTTAGCCTCAGCTTAGCCAAGCTTCGCCTCCTGCCTCAGCTTCTTAGAGTGCTGGGATTACAGGCATACATCCACACACCTGGCTTATTGGCTCCAAAACTTGAAGTGGCCCAAGGTGATCTAATTAGCAAGTGGCAGAGCCAGGAGTGGAACCCAGCAGTTAAATGGTACACTCTGGCTCCCACTGGTACTGCCTTAGAATCATCTGTTTGGGGTCTGTCTTCTCCCCCCAGACTGTCTTATTCATCATTCTGGCCTCAGCACTGAGCCCAGTGGTGTGTGTCTGTGCTTAGCAACACTGGAAGACGACACAATCACGCGGGACTGCAGAGGGAATCTGCAGCCTCACTCTTGTGCACAGGTGGTTTCAGGAGGCCGGACCCCAGTATGTCAGGTGCTCCACTGCTATGACTCCAGAGGTGGCATGGGAAGCCAGACAGCAGGTCCCTTATTCATGTCGCTGGTGTGAGGAAAGATGAATACCTCCAGGTGTCCTCAATAGCAGGGATTCAGGTCTTCCAGGATCTGTCAGCATCACAGAGCTAGAGAAAGGATGTGAAGAAAGAGGACGGTGGGAAGCCCATTAGCTCAAGCATGTCCTTTAGGCCAGTAACACCCTCTAGTGGTAAAGCTTAGGATGATCTCAGAAAAAAAAAAATCATAGCTGGGGAGATTGGAAATACCCTCCTGGGAAGGTAGCTCCTGAAACTTGCTATCTCCTTCCCAGAGTCACAAAGATGGGCCTAGACCTCTTCTGGCCTCTTCCAAAGTCACAGTAGCTCACTGCAAAAGAGCTCGCCTGGTTACACAAAATGTGAAGAGATATATCCCAGTTCTATTGGTCATACGCTGAAAAGAATGGCCTAGCTCGAGTCATGCTCTTGTAGGGACAGCCTGCATCCAGTGACTCCTGATACAGAAATAGAAAAGCTCATCTTCCTCACCTCAACTCAAGGTAATCTATGGAGCTGTCTCAACTTCAGAGCTCCCCATGAGATTGAGACCTTTGTTGAGACTGCACTTCGGCACAACTCCCTCTGCCTGATCTGAATTCCTTCCCTTCCACTAAAGCTGATGATCCTGAGACATTTTCCCAACAAACTCCCTGTATGTCTATCCGCAGTGCAGAGTCTACTTCCCTGCAGCCAAACCTGCAGCACTGTCCAGTGTAACTTGTATGCTACATGCCCATACAGACATTGAAAGCACATGTCTGGAGCAGTGAGCACCAGGATCCCCTCCCTCACCAGACACCAGCTCCGCACCTGCTGTGCTTCTTGGTGGCTCAGAGCAGATCCCCAGCATCCATGCAAGCTCTTTGCACACAGTGAGGACCAGTTGCCCAAAGGATGTTGGTATCATGACACATCTCCTTGGTCCTGCTGAATGTGCCAGAGGGCATTTAGCCTCCTTGATCCTGCAGGGGCCTAGGGGCAGGCAGACAGACCCCATATTGCACTGGCAGCCCCTAGGGAGTCCCTGCAGAAGTTAGAGGCACTGATCGTGGGGCTCTGGCCACTCCAGGGAGGTCCTGATTGCTTGTCCCCAGCACTGAAGACATCAATATGTTCCACACACCACTGACCTATTTATGCCTTCTGATGCTCTGGGTCTGTGGATCTCATGGCTGTGGGGTAGTTTTTTGTGTGTTTCTTGTGAGGAGAAGAACTATTCACAGTGGTCTAGGTGCAGCTTACCTGCTAAAGGGGAGGAGGTTCCTTATATATTTTCCATGTTATGTTCTGCGCATGAGATCAACAGAAGCATACTGGGTCAGTGTCCTCAGGGAATCACCCAAAGTTGATACTGGGGAAGACTGCATGGTGCAGACCAGTGCAGTCCAATAGAATTTCTGCAATGATGAAAACGTTCTGTGCCTCACTGTCCCTGAGGGTACTGAGCCCTGAAACTGTGGCTTGTGTAACTGTGAAGCTGCATGATCACTTTAATTTCAATTATTTTCAATTTAATAGTTCCACGTGGCTAGTAGCTACTCTATTGAACAGTGCAGATATAGGACCAAAATTTGGAAAATGAAAACTCCAAATAATTTTGGCCTAATTTTAAGAACTTCTGGAGGTACATTCTTCTCAATTTACCTGGAAAAATTGATTATAACACACAGCCTTAGACATTTTGTGTTTCTCTAAAGCATCTATTAATATACTGAATCAGACTCTCTCTCTCTCTCTCTTTCTCTCTTTCTGCTGGAGATTGAACCGAGAATCTCACACAATTTAGACAAGTGCTCTACCACTGAGCTATATCCCTAGCCCAAGATTTAAAAAATTCTCATATGTACATGTCTTCAGCCAAATACATGCCCACCCATCATCTATGTAGCTGTTGATTTCATTTCTCTGAATCCATACATTTTTTCCCATTACTGGGGATTGAACCCAGGGGTGCTCAATCCCCGAGCTACAATCCCAGCCCTTTTCTGAATCTTATTTTGACAAATAGTTTTGCTAAGTCAGTAAACTGCCCAAGCTGGATTCACAGTTGCAATCCTGCCTTAGCCTCCTGAGTAGCTGGGGTGATACAGCCTGTGCCACCATGCCTGGCTAAGCCCATTCATTTTTCATGACAAAATAGCCTAGTCCTATCCCCAATTCTTCTCTCCTTTCTAATCTCACAATGGCAAATTTTAGCCTGTGCTTTGAAATCTTTTCAGTTGTTTCTGAAAATTAACCACATGCACAGGTTCCTAGGCCAACTTATCTGAAATATATATATCAGTTGGGCATCATGATTCCATTTAAGATCACAAGGCTGTGTCCTCGGTTGGTGGTTCTCATTTATGCGTTTAGCCATGCTAGCCTTCATCACGCATCTTTGCACAGGGGGCTGTATGGGCCCTCGCTGCTCTGGGCCCCTTGGGAGTCCTACTTCTTATTTTTTTTTTTGGTACCGGGGATCGAACTCGGGTCCTTGCACTTGCACAGCAGGTGGCGAAACCACTGCGCTAAATCCCCGGCCCAGGAGTCCTACTTCTGGTTAGGAGTCACCTGCAGTCCTCCAAGTCACGGGCACAGCAGCCATCTCTATGCATGACACATTTTTGTCAACAGCCGTCTGTTTTCATGTTGAGGTTTTCAGGTAAGTGCCACACTTCATTGGGCCTGATGCATTGGCACAAAGACTTCCTGAGAGTAGAGCACTCTTCGATGTAGCATGTCCAGTTTCTCCTCTTGGTGCCCACTTTAGGAAGGGGAACCTCCCTGAAATCCTCTTCGGGAGAGTACTGGCAACACGGTCGTTTGTCAGATCCCCAGCTCAGTAGGACACAGTATAAGGTAGCAGTTAATGAACGGCCTCTGGAGCCAGCTGCCCAGGATCCAAATCCCACCTCTCACCACCAGTGGAGCCCGAGACAAGTCATCTCCTCCATCTGATGGAAGTAACAATAGCCCGTCACTCTTAGGGTTCTTGTAAGGATAAAGCAAGTTGGTTTTCATAAAGCATTTATTTACAGCAGTACTTGCACAAAGTAAGTACTATGTAAGTACAAGCCATTTTTATCACCATAAGCAAAGATTTTTTCCATTGGTTTATTTGACAAACTCCTGGCGAACACTTTTCTCTTTGGAAATCATTTAGGAGGCACTCTGTCCAGCCTTCCTCTATGCTTGATGTCTAGCGTTCACCGCATTTGGTGCACATTCCAACCTTCTCTGCTGGCTTCACTTGCTTTCCCTACTACTCTCATCCAGTTCACCAGCAGGAAGATTTCCCTGTCTCTGGAAATCTTGTTTATTTCCCTTCGTAGTGTATACTTTCCTCAATTTTCAGTAATATATTTTTAAAGTTTTAGCTTTATCAATGCCTATCTTCATTCATACTCTTATTCTAAACAGACTAGATGATACCATTTTCTCCCAATTCAGACCCCTGAAATGTCCCTTGTCCTGTTGTTCTTTTTTCCCAGCTCCTAGACTTTCCCTTTGGAAGTGGCCTGGGTGGTTATGGGTCCCTGCTCTGAGTACCTGATGTTCTCAGGGGTCCAGTGGAGTTCCCTGGGAGGAGAGGGCCAGAGAGAGATCTGGGAAGGTATTATAAAGACCAATGCACTTTATCGACAGTATCACACAGGGCTGAGGCAGAGAGCCCAAAGGCCAGGGCCACAGGGAAGGCCAGGTATCAGACTCACATTGAGCCAGAGGCTGAGTGTTCCTCCTGCTCCTTCTGATGGTTCCATGGAGCTACAACCCAGAGCAGGGGGGAAGGAGTCCCACACCTAGACTTGCTCTGTCTGAAACCCAGGCCTTCTCCCAGGAGACTGGGGCAGCCACCAGCAGAATGGGAAATGAGGTGGTCCCAGTGAAAGTGGGCCCTGGACCCTGACTCCAATTTCTTGCCAAATCCTGCCTAAACTTTTAACTGATGAGATGAGTTTGGTTAAGTCATGCTCTCCTCCAAGTGTCAGTTTCCTTTAACAAGGGCATTGGGCTAGTTTAGCAATTTTCCAGCTCTTCCTCCCACTGAATAGTAAGCTAGATCAAGATGTTGTGCAGCTAAAATCAAAGTTGTTTCCCTTGTAATACAATCAAAACCAATAATAATCACGAATGCATAGTATTTTCACAATGTAAGCCCCCCCCATAAACAGCTCTGAATTAGTGGTGCCTGCTACCCTTGCTATCTGAGCAGAGTACAGATGGAGTCTGATTCTGAAACAACTCAGACCGAATACATTTACTGTGAAGCCGCATGTGCACTATTCTATAACAGAATGTGGCTCTCAGATATTTTTCCACCTGAAGAATCATGAGAAATGCAGGCAGGACTGGGTGCACACGGACAACTTTTGCAGTGTTGAGTCTGATTCCTTTTGGGGTCTTTGGGGAAAAACAGGTGTCAGTAGTGGGGGGCATCTTCTGGGGGTTTGGTAAGGTCAGCTTCGTACCTCCCTATCGCCACCTCCAATGCCCGTGTTCCCCCAAATCAAGCCGTCACCCCAAGGCCCCTCCTGGAGTCCCCTTGGGTGAATCCCCTCTTCACAGGCCCCACATACCTATGGCAAGGAACTCACCCTGGGGTGAGTGGCCTGAAGGCTCCCATCTCCTGGCCTGGGCTGGCTACAGAGGAGAAGTAAAGTCTGAAGTGAGGTGGCCCAGGGCCCTACCTCACGGGCTCCATTTCACTTCTGGGTGATGGAGTGAGAACAGGAAGGGGATCGGCCCCATGGTACTCCACCACCATGTGCCCTGACTAGCCCTCCTACACCTACATCCTCTACCTCCTGAAGCTCCGACTGAGCACTAGCACCTGCTTTTGCATCTGCACAGCAGTCTTATGACTATATCGGGGCAGCTGAAAGCCCAGCTCCTCCATGCCACCCTGCCAGGTGGAGAAGATGTGGCTCCTGTAGGTGAGAAAGAGGGAGGGCCTGCTGCTCCAGACTTCTGGGGCACCGTGGGTGAGGGAAGAACGAGGTTGTTGGGGGCAAGGTAGGAAAGCCTGCTGTCCTTGGTGGGAGGTAAGGCACTGGCAGGGTGAGGAGTGACAGAGTGTGACAGGACTCCTCTGCCACCTGGAGATAATCCAGTGCTGCCATACGGACGGCTGGAGACACAGCTCCCCCTTGACCAGCTCCTTAGATTCAGGCCCCGGGCTTCACGAAAGCTACAGCCCAGGGTCACCATCTGCAGCCCTTCGGGGAGACTGGCTTTGTGTGTTCTCCACTGCCCAGGCCCTGTGTTCCACCCTCCTGTGGCTGCCCAGCAGATGGGTTCCCAGCCAGCGGATCCAGAGATGCGGAAGGTGCCCACCATGCCAGAGCTGCTGCCCACCCGTGAGAGGGTTACAATGGCAGAGATGAAGGGGGGACTGCAGGGTCAGCCCGGTGTCCCTGGGCCAGCGGGGTGGGTATGGGGAGTCGTGACCTTCGCTATCTTGGATTTGCTCATCCTTGGAGTGTCCCAGGCAGACGAGGGGTGGGGGGTGGTTTGTGTACATGGGGGGCCCCATGGTGCCCACTCGCCTGCGACAGAACAGCACAGATTAGCAGCACGGTGAGATGGGAGGAGGGGGATTGTGGGCTGGTGTGGACCCGGGGTGGCTGGGGAGGGCCACGCCCCCCAGGCTCCGGACGTGTGGACCCAGTGTGGAGGAAGGGTGGGCGTCTCTGTCCCTGAGGAACGGTGCATTTCTCCTGCCTGCCTTCCCAGGGCACCAGCAGCAGCCACGTCAGGAGTGCAGGGGCCTCCCTGGGCAAGGCCCTGCCTCCAGTCTCTGCCCTCTGGCCCCACTTGAGTTTCTTTGTCAAACAAACTCCTCTCCTCATGACTGACATCTCAAGGGACTGGGGGCTGCCAGTGGCCTGCAGGAAAGGGGGACCTGGTACTAGGCCAGGTGGAGAAAGGAGATGGCAGAGGAGGAGCTGAGCTCCAGGAGGGATGGGAGGAGCTTCCGGCCACTACCAGCCCCAGAGCTGGGCCCTGGGCCCTGGAGGAGCAGCCCCACCCAGGTGCCGCTGCAGACCATGCTAGTTAGGAGATCTCATTGCCAAACACCTCGAGCACAAGGGGTGTGAGCTTCATGCTGTTCTCCGGCTGGAGGGAGAGGGTTCGGTACTGCTTGGAGTACTCGTCATTGAGGCTGCGCACGTCAGCCAGCTTCTGGATCATCTTGGCGTAGAGCTGGTGGCTGCCCGGGGGCAGGTGGCGGCAGTGGATGTAGGCCTGCAGCGTGTTGGACAGTCGGTCCTGGATGGCCTCGACCAGCTTGGGATCCTGCACCCCAGGTCGGTCTGAGACACAGGAGTTGGGAAAATACACAGGGGCTCTGAGCTGGGTCCCTTGCTGCTCAGTGCCGATACACCCACCCACCTGGATAAGCCAGCTCAGCACCCCAGGGCACCCTTACGACTGCTGCCCTGTGATGTCACCATCATGACTAAATCCCCCAGTTACTTCCCACTGCATTTATGATCAAGTCCTTTTGTGGGCATCTGGTCCTGTCCCACCTCCTCTCACTCCTGCCTGTGCTCTGTCCTTGCACCAGTGCCCCGATGTACCCTCGAGGGTGTCACTTCTCCGTTACCTCTCCTGGGACTCAGCTCTTCTTTGCCTGACTGACTAATCCTTTGGGTAGCTGATTAAAAGGCCTTCTTCAAGCCAACGTGGTGGCAAATACTTACAATCTCAGCACCCTGAGACGCTGAGGCAAGAAGATTGCAAGTTCAAGCCCACCCTGGGCAACTTAGTGAGTGACTTAGTGAGACATTGGCTCAAAAATTTTTTTTTTAAAGGATTAGGATGTAGCTCAGTGCAAAGGCCCTAGGTTCAATACTCAGGACTAAAAAATTTAAAAAACCATTCTTCAAGAAGGCTATTCTTGACAATCCTCTACCTCCTTGCCCCAGACTTTATTAGCTCCCTGCAGCTGTTCTACCTTTTCATAGCATCACATACAGTTTTATTTTGAAAGCTCTCATCATATTAGCATTAGTTGTTAAATGGCATTTGTTTAATGTTTCCTCCTAAGCTTCATGAGAAGAAGTCTGCGCCATTTGCTTCTGACTCCCTGTGCCGAGCACAGTGCCTGGTACCTAGCAGGTGCTCTGGAAGTCACTGCAGAGTCCATAAATGAATAAGGGAGCTGATGCTGGCTCCGAGTGGGTCCAGAGAGCATACATCTATTCCTCGGGCCCTCGGTCCAGGAAAGCATCCTTAAACAGGGACCACTAGCTTGTTCCCTGAACGTGGTCCACGCTGAGGTAAGGCTGCCCCTTCGGGCTTCATCACCACCAAGATAACATCACCAAGGCTACCGTAGCTTCTTTCTCAGCCTATTCTCCATTTCCCACCTCTAACAAGCAGAAAAGGTCAGGAGTCCAAGCACATGGCTTCCAGAATCAATCAAATTGTCCAGGCAGAACCACTCATCATTCCCCAGGGTTTTGTTCCCCGCCTCCAAGGAACCTCAAGTGACAGGAATGTCGAGCTCAGTTTGTGCAGCAGCACAGCCTGAGTGTTAGGAACACCCAGGCCTGTCAGTGACCTAGGGAACTCTGCTGGTGGTCTGGGGGACCCTGTTTATCTGGTTCCACAGAATCCTGTGCATCACTTGTGATCTCTGTAAGGCACAGCCAAGGGCAGTGAGGGACTCAACATACACACAGTGTATGGGTCACGCAAATGCAGCAAAGTGAGTGTCTCCTCACTCGCCTCTCCTTTTCCTCTCTGTTCCCTTGAGATACCCTGCTGGCCCTCAGGAGGCCTTTGTTCTTCATGCTCTCCACTTTCCTGAGGGCCCTGAGTTCCTCACTGCTGGGCTTCATACCTGGGGAGACAATGCAGATAGCCATGAGCAGGACGTGTTCCTCCTCATGCAAGTTCAGCTTCTTCAGCGCCATCTGGAACTTGATGAGGGGCTCAATCAGCTCCAGCGTGTGTCCAGCTATGAGAGAGAGAATGGCCAGGTGCCATGGGAAGAACTGAGGAGCCATCCACCCCACCTCCAGCCCCTGCTGGCCTTGTTCTCCCAGTTGTTGCCTAGCACCCTTCCATATGCCCCATTGGGACCTAAGGCCCTGGGGGGGAGAAGCCAGAGTCTGGGAGCTGGGAAAAGTGGAGGTGGAGTCCAGACGAACCTTTGGTCACATCAGTGACACTGTACTTGTAGTCTTGGTTGCCACAGTCCCAGGACATGTCCTCCACGTTGAAGGACTGGTTGGAGCGCAGCATAATGACCTCAATGGCACTTGACTTAAGCAGCACAATCTGGTCCTCAGCAGTGAGATCTCTGCCAGGAGATGGGTGGGGAGAGGTCAGGTTACTGTAAGTTGAGATCTTCAAGTTCCACAAATCAAGTTTGTATTTTGACAAGTATACACCTGCCAGGTGACCCGCATGTGCCTGGGTCCTCCACCTAGGAGTCGGCAGCCTGGTAGGAATGGACAAGAGTCCACTGAGTGCTCCCTTGAGGGAGAACAACTCAAGACCAGTCATGTGCCAATGTGAGCCATGAAGTAGCTCAGTTATGAAGATAAGGAAAACTCAGTGACTAAGCAGCCAGAGCTATTTGGGACAGGAATGAGAGCCTGGGGATGCTCCCATGTTGTAGCATGAATAGGGTACTCTGAGAACAGTATGGCCCCAGTCATTGTTAATCACTCTCACGTTTCCTTTTCCTCCCCTCCTCTTGTCCTCTTGTGATTCTCAGCCAGCTCTATCTCCAGAACCCCTCTGGAGCCCTTTCCCTTATTCCTACTATCATCAGGACTGCTCTGGGCCAGAGCACCTTTCTTTTATAAGAGCTCCCTACTGGGATCTGGACTCAGGTTTTTCAAGTCTCTCTTTCATCTTTCCTACTGCTCCTATGGGTAAATGTCACTCTCAGGCCTAGAAATCCTCACTGATTTGAACACCCCAAGGTCAAACCAAACTGTTTGTACAGCTCCAAACTGTCTTTCCCATTGTAGACTTCACCATTGGATTTCTTTTTTTTTTTTCTCCTGGTACTGGGGATTGAACTCAGGATCGTGTACTTGCCAGGCAGGCATGGTGCCACTGAGCTAAATCCCCAGCCCACCATTGAATTTCTTTATGACCCATCATATATCACTTGTGCTCTTACTTGACCATTCTCTCTCAGCTCTGTTCTTTATTTTATGCCTGTCTCTGATGCTTATTTGTAAGTTACATGAGGGCCAAACTCTTAGCTACCTTACTGGTGCCTGTATGCTGCTCACTAAGCCATGAATACAAGGGAATCAGTAAGTATGTGCCAACGGTATGAGAGGACAGTGGCTACTCCACTATTCTGAGTTATGTGCTAGGCTGTCTGAGTAACAGCATGGAAAGAGCAGAGCCCACAGATCACTTGCTTCGGGCTTTTCTTCCCTGTCTCTTCTCAACTGTCTGGTTCCTCCTGGATGTCCTGTGCACAGGCTGTCACCCCGCCAGGGCTGCACTTTGGTATGCAGCTACAGGATGCAGACAGGAACGGATGGGAGTTCTGCATCCATGGCTGAGACATGACAAGGATGAAAAAAGGGCATGACTAGGGAGGTCAGCAAAGGATGTGGGGTGAGAAGAAATCACACAGTGCTAAGGGTGGAAGGCCTCTCTGGAGGCCATGTGGGCAGCCTCTTCCTCTAGCCTGACTCACACATGGCTCTGGGCCAGCTCTGCAGGCTTCCCCTGGTGCCAGAGAGTGCTGGACCTCTGGAGCCAGGCAGAAGGTGGTTAGAAAGCTCTGTGCTAATGACCTCTTCCTCTCCCGAGCTACAACCCATGCGATGACACACTTGCCCACTGTTGTAATTTTGTACTCTGAAGGCGCCCAGAACCAGACTCCTCTGTTAGCCACGAGGCTTCCCTTTAACTGTGGCCAGTGGGTTTTGATTTTTTAAAACAAAACTACCATGTCCTCTCTTCATTTTCTTCAGGATAGATAGTCCCGTTACTTGGGATCTAAACTTCTCACCATCCTTGTCACTTTTTTCTTGGTGCTCGGGCTACACTTAAAAAATAAAAACTAACACCACCTCCAATTTGGTTCAAACTCAGTAAGTAAAACATTTATTATTAAATCTTTGGAAAACACAGGAAAATATAAAAGCAAATAAAAATTGCTTATAACCACAGTTAACATTTTGGTGTATTTCCTTCCTATCTTTTTTTATGCAAATAGAAACAACTTAGTTTATACTAATTCTATATTCTATACTATAACTAACATAACTGAGTTTATACTAATTCTGTATCACACTTTCCATAGTGTTAAGATTTTTTTGGGGGGGGGCACTGGGGATTGAACTCTACCACTGAGCTACCCCAGCCCTTTTTTACTTTTTTTTTTTTTTTTAAATTTTGAGACAGAGTCTCTTGGAGTTGCCCCAGCTGGCCTCAAACTTGTGATCCTCCTGCCTCAGCCTACCAAGTCACTGGGCTTTCTTGTATATGCCACATGCACAGCTCCCTAATAATTCTTTTCCCTGGTTCTAAATATGTATAATGTTATATCAGTGTACTACAGGTTACTGAATCAGCCTCCCATTTATCTGTTTTAGGACAGTTTGGTTACTTCTAATGTTTGCTCTTTTTTTGGAGGGGGATTTGAGACAGGGTCTCACTATGTAGTTCAGGCTGGCCTTGAATTCCCTATGTAGCCCAGGGTGGGCTCAAAGATGCAGTGGCCCCTCTGTCTCAGCCTTCCGGGTGCCAGGATTACAGGCATGCATCATCATGCCCAACTTGTCAATTTTTCCTCTCATAGGTGATTTTGTGGGGGATATCTTTGCACACAGCCCTGTGTTCAGTGCCTGACTCAGGATGGAGGACCAGAAGTGAACAAAGATCTTGAGTCCTTGGTGCCCAGAGAGTTCAGTGAGATCACTGCTCACTGTGACCCAGACATGCTGCTCTGTGAGGCAAACCTACAATGACCTCATATTCCTGCCCACAGCCAGGAAATATAGGGACTTTCTAAGCGACACAGCCAGAACCAGGGATGGCTGTGGGGGGAAGCCAACATGGAGCCACAGGGCAAACCAGTGAGAGGCCTTGTTCTGTGGTGACAGGACCAGCCAGGGCTCAGTGCCTCTGCCCTGGCCTGTGTGCCATTCAGGTCCCTGCCAATCACACGCCTGTGGCTGTCTGAGGTGCCCTGGGTGGAGGTGTGTCCCTCTCAGCCTTTCCACCTCATGGGTAGAGTCACGCCCCTCCGGGCCAGGGCTTCCCACGTGGCCTAGCAGGTCTTCTTTCCTTTCTCTGCGGCTCTGTGCTCATGTTTGTTTATCTCTTCCACCAGACACCAGACCCCTGCAGGCTAGGGACTGCACCCTAGGCAACTTTTATCCCTCATGGTTTGTGTAAGAAAGCCACTGGTCCCATGGAGAAATAAACGAACGTGGAGGATGGAGGATGAGATGAAGGGAGCTCTGTGGCCCCTGGCTGTGACTCTGGAAGGGTCCCTGGAAATGGCGGTGGCAAGAAGGCTGGGGGCATTTAGTCCACAGAACCAGGCCCCAGCTGGGGTGGTCTGGTCTTCTGTTGCCTCAGTCGGCAGTGAAGCCTGGGGTGCTCGGCCTTTTCACCCGAGGCTGCTCTTTGTCATTCTCCCACCTGCTCCGGACACCACGTCCTCACACATCTGTCTTGCAGCATCCACAGAGAGGGAGGTTGGCAAGGGGAGCTGAGAGGTTGAAGGACAGGTGGTGGGAGGAGGGAGTGGGCCAAGGCTGCTCTGCAGTGCAGTCCACGCCCAGCACAGCACAGCCTGTCTGGCACCCACACAGAAGTCTCATCCCGCCTTCCCCACGCCCGCCGCTCCCACCCAACAGGCAGCCAGATCGAAGGCACCTGGGACACAGCCACTGTTCTTCTGCTTCCTGGGAAAACAGAACCCCTCATTGTGGAAGCCAGCAGAACCAGAGAGCTGCTGAGTCAGCCCCTCCTGGCCCCTGGCTCTGGCTCCCGTCCAGGTCCACCAGCTCCTCCACCTGTGCACAATGTCCACATCAGTGTCCTCCAAGCCCTCTTGTCAAGATCTGCTTCGTTTTTATCTGCTCTGAGATTTCTGAGGTCAAGCCAGAGAGTGAGAGAAACCAATCTAGGGATGTTTGGGATGATTTTAAACCACTTGCACCAACAGCTGGGCAGCTCCATCACCTGCACACACCTACCTCAGTTTGCCTGCTACTTCCAGGCAAGACTAGGAAACCCTGGGGAAAATGAGGCTCGAAAGGAAAGGACTTCAGCTCAGTCTTGGGGAGAGAAACTGAAGGTAAGAGACAGGGGTCAAGAGTACGGGACAAAAATGGAGACCAGGGGCCTTTGTGAAGGGAGCAGGCTCCCAGTGATCCGGTTTAACTAGGAACTTTCTTCTCAGGGCCCCTTACCCTCACGTGCGATCCGAGCTACTACTTAGCACCACCAGAACTTAGAATCCAGAGAGGCCTCACAGGTCAACTGTTCAGCTCCCCACCAGAGCAAGAAAAGATGACTCCTGCATAGGCATTGCTGCTCAGAATCAAGCTGAAGCCAGGTGCTACAATGTAGACTTGGCACCTTGAAGTGTTTTTTCTCTAGCTATTTACACAAAACAAGAATTTGGAAGACAAAGAGTCTGCAAACAGTAACACCAAGTGCGGAGGAAGGAGGTGGAATGTGTGCTCAAGGGAAAGTGTTGTCGGTTGCAAGGGAAGTCTCTGGAGGGTAAAACCAGGCCTCTCACAGCCTGAAGACTCAGTCCTTCACCCCGACCTCACTGCCAGGCTGCCCTTACTCCATTCCTGCCATCAAATGTGTTTCAGTCCATTTGCTGTATCTCTCTTCACTGTAATTTTTGCATTAATTCAACAGAAAAGCTTTAGAGAGTTTCAGATATTTGGGTTGGGGAGAGACATAAAACAGCACACAGTTGTCAGGGTAGAAACAAACCGAAATGGTTTCATTCCATCGTCCAAAGTGTGGGGATGGAATGGCTCTTCAGCGCTAGCTCGCAGAGTAATGCTGTGAATTACCATCATCTGGCTGGCAAAGTGGTTGTTTAGGCAATAATGGTGGCTTTTCTACACAGCAGAGAGGGCCTCAAAACAGTAAATGGCACCTCATCAGTTTTATCCAGAGCTGGCTAACACTAAGTCATTTTCCAGCTCCCAGGATCCTATCACTGAGCCTGAGCATTTCTAGAAAATATTCTGTCATTTCTGCTGCAACTACAGCTACTGCTGTCACTTGAAATGATGATAATATGGTTTGATATTGATTTATTTCCTTTTTATTCTCAAACACATCGTGTGTATACTTTATGGCAATGTACCCAGTGAACTTCTGGAAAGAATGAGGATTAAAAATATACATAAACACGTAACTATCAATATATCTACTAAAAGTGACAAAACTATTGTTCAATACGTTACATGAATTAAAGTATAAGTGTTATATATGCTATTATTATTAAAACAATAAAACACTCCAGTGAATGATTAAATTTATATGAATCATCTATAAAGGAGAATCCCTATTCTACTAAAACTCCTTCTATATCTCTATTTACCATTTGTTTGTTTGTTTTTGGTGCCGGGAATCGAACTCTGGACCCTGTGCTTGCAAGGCAGGTGCAGAGCCACTGGGCTAAATCCCCAGCCCCTATTTACAGTCTTTTTGCAAAAGGATTTAGTATGATTAAGAAATAGTCTTTTAATATAAATTTGGATGAAGAATGACCAGATTATATATGCCAGTAAAACTGCCTCCCTCGAGATTTCTAGATATTTCACAAGTCTACATGCTCTATACTTTCACTTTCTTCCGGGAGCAGAACAATACAGTACTGTAGGTTGAAATTAAAAGGCCAATTAGAGGGTTAGAGTCCAACTCGCTGGAGTGGACACAGCAGGGAAATGGAAGCTGAGGCCTCACTCTGACACTAGAAGGGGATCCTGCGTGGCCATTAAGGCTCTCTGAGCTTTCATTCCATCATCCAAAGCGTGGGGATGGAGCAGCTCTCCAGGACTAGCTTGATGGGCTACACTCCGATTCCCAGGACTCTCCTAGAGTCTGATTTAGAGATCTGGGCTATGGCTTAGGGGAAGCCACAGATTAATCTCCCAAGCCTTTTGCTAGCTCAGTATAGGATTCTGATTGTTCCAAGACATTGCAGAAGCTTCTTACCTGAATCCTGGGATCATTTTGGCGAAGCCGATGACCTTTTGGATGCTATAACTGACCAGGTCAGCCAAATGAGGCAGCATGGGGAGCTGGGACAGGTCCAGAGTCACAGAAGAGTTATCCGAGTCTTCTTCTTCATTCAAGTCCAGGTTGGAGAAGTTGGAAGGCTCCACCAAGTCTGGGGAGGATGAGGGGGGAGAAGGATCTGTCTGAGGATACGCAGGCCAGGCCTCTCCTGCCTGCCCCTTTGAGGGCTGAGTGAGTCCTAACAGCAGAGCCATCTCCAGAGCCCACAGTGACAGCCTCCCTTTAAAGGTCATTTTATAGATCCCGGCTTCCCTCTGGCTCTTGCCTTGTCTCTTGTTTCAGCAGTGTGAAACAGTCAAAATAAAAAAGCCAGAGACATGAAGAGAAATAAGTCTTCCTGGAGCCACACTTTTGTAATCCACGTGTTGTTCCTAATCTTAATCAAAGATGAACTTGGGACCTCCCTTGGGATCAAATACTACAAAGGAGAACATCTATATGCTTTGCCTGTAACTGAAAACAAATATGGTTAAGTGTTGATGCCAGTATTTGTAAAAATACAGGGAATTAGGCAATATTTATGGAGTGCTCAGGTGCTGCAGAAGTTGTAAATCTGAGCTGGTAATCTAAAAATCTATTTGACCTGAGGAGTCAAAAGGCCACAGGTATATGTAATCTTCAACTAGTAATCTTACTTCCATTAATTTATCATAAGGAAAAAATTTGGAATAAGCATATATATTTATCCACAAGCAAAGTATTATCTTACTAAAAAGCTAAAAAGCAATCTAGATATTCAATGATAGGGGAGTCATATATTTTATTATATCTCAGAGTACTAGGCAGACTTCAAAAACTATTCTAGGTGCATTTTAAATGACATGGAAATATGATACAATTTATTATTAAGAGAAAAAAAGTGAGTCACCAGACTACATAGCACAAATCCACTTCTGAATATAGATACGCATTATAAAAAGATGAGTTAATGTCATAGTATTGACAGTAAATTTTCTTTAGGCAGTAAAATTAAAGATTATATAATAAAGTTTATAGGTATTTTAAATTTTCTATGATGAATGTGTATTACCTTTTAAAAAATTTTTATTTTATTGGTACATTTTAGGTATACAATATAATGACATTCATCACTGGAAATTTGCACCTTTACATAGTCTTGGTTCTTATTTTTCCCCCTTCCCCTGCCCTCCCTTCAACTCCTCCATCCCTCCCTATTTACAAAGACGTTGTTTCCATTTTTTCGTTTTCTCATATTAATTCCATTCCCTTCTTTCCTTTCCCCTACCCCTCCCATTTCCCCCTCCCCTTTGCCCCTTTTCTTCCTATTTCACATTATCTATTATACCTTTTAGTCCTTATTTACACTTTCAGTTTTTCACACTAGAGAAACTATTCAGTATTTACACATGTGTGTCCTATTTATTTCACTTAAGAGTATTGCTTCAATGTGCATCCATTTAGCTATAAATGTCTCTAATTTCTCATTTTTTTATGGCTGAGTAGTACTCCATTTTACAAAAAACCCACATTTTCTTGATCCAGTCTCCAGTCAATGGGCGACTGGGCTGCTTCCAAGTTTCAGCTATTACAAACTGTGCTCATTTTTTATGGCTGAATAGTACTCCATTTTATTAAAAAACCACATTTTCTTTATCCAGACTCCAGTTGATGGGCATTTGTGCTGTTTCCAAGTTTTAGCTATTACAAACTGTGCTGCTATGAACATGGGTGCACACATATCACTGTGGTATGATTCTTTTAATTCTTTGGGGAAGATCCCCAGCAGTGGAATAGCGGGGTCAAATGGGACTTCCAGTCCTAGTTCTTTGAGGTATCTCCATACTGATTTCCACAGTGCTTGCACCAGGCTACACTCCCACCAGCAGTGGAGCAGGGTTCCTCTTTCCCCACAGCCCCACCAGCATTTGTTATTGGTTGATTTCATGATAGCAGCCATTCTACACAGTAAACCTTTGTCTGAGGAACAGCAGGCGAAGATTTTTTCCCACATTGTGGGTTGTCTCTTCACACTGCTGGTGGTTTCTCTTGCTGTGCAGAAGCCTTTTAATAAGAAGAGATCCCACTTGTTGATTGTTTGTGCTAGTTCACGGGCAACTGAGGTTTTGTTCATAAAATCTTTTCCTACAACGATGTCTTCAAGGGTTCTACCTAATCTCTGTTCCAACTGGTTTAGAGTTTCTGTTTTAATATTTAGATCTTTAATCCATTTCGATTTTAATTGAGTGCATGGTGAGAGATACAGGTCTAGTTTTAATCTTTGGAAAGTTGAAGCCCAATTTTCCAGCACCATTTGTTAAAGAGGCTATCTTTCCTCCAGTTAGGTATTACCTTTGTACACTATTATTTTAATTACAAATTTTAACTTGCTTGAAATTTTAAGTAAAAATATGCTATACTGAATGTACCATTGGTGGGGTGAGCAATTAACCTATGAGAAGTTATTGATCAATTAACCTATGGGGTGATTATTTAAAAGGGAAGTAGAGACCAATGTGTATCTTATACAAATCGACCCTCTTTGGTACAGATGGATATGGCATTTGGTGAAAAAAGCAGAATTTACACATGGCAGGATCCCTGTAAGGTGAGAGTTTCACAGGCCTGTCAATCTATGCAGTGGTCAGTGCTTCTCAGCCCCCGCTACTGTCCTCCTGTCACTTCCGGGTGGGTAGACACATCTGCTCTCACTGCTATCTCCATCTAGTTGGCCAGGTCCCCTCCTACCTCTCTGGATCCAGGCACAGACAGGTCACTGAGTCTGGAAGTACCCTAGCTGAGGGCTGCAGCTGCCCAGAGGGGAGGGAGGGGTTCTACCCTGCTCTCAGGCAGGTCCTCTGTGGAGGATACCAGGGTTGGAAGAGAGATAGAAGGAGAAAGGATGAGGGTAGAGGGAGGGTGAGGCAGGATGAGGAGGAAGATATAAAAAGGCCATAAGAAGAAAAGCACCATGCATCTCAGACTCTCAGCTGGGCGGGAGGAGGCAGGTCCTCCAGGGCCATGGTGGTCCCCTAGGGTTGGGCAATAGACCTACACATTCTCCTTCCCACTCCCGACCACCTCCCAAAATGTCCAGGGTCAGGGAAAGGAAGCAGGTGCCCCCAGGCAGGGAGCCAGAGCCTGGCTGAGCAGAAGGACCTGGGCTCAGAAGGCTGGGCCTGCAGCACTGGCATCCCTGAGAGGCCTAGTCCCCAGCACAGCCCTGTGCAAGTCAGCCCCCTTCTGGGAGAGAGCACTTTTCTGAGCGCACTGCCTGGCACAGGTTTACATTCCTGTCAGGGAGTTCCACTGGCAGGCATGCCTAAGGGCAGTGGGGTGGTTCCCCTCACTCAGTGGTGGCAGGACCCCTCCTTACCTAGAGAGGCAGTATAGAGATCTGAACCAGATGAGGAGGAGTTCCTGGAGAAGCTGGGTGTGGGCGGTGGATGACAGCTCCCTCTAGTCTCTCGGACTGGAGGCTGGGAGGGAAAGATAGGGTCTCAGAGGCCCCCGTTCTTTAGGCTCCCTTCCTGTCTTAGCCTTGACCTCTAATGGGAATGGCTTGGATGAAGATCAATGGACTGGGAGGCTTCCCAACATCACAGGCCCCTGGCCCTCCATCCCGACAATCCTGCTGTTCTACGTCATCTCACCCTCCCTGCCAGGAGGCTGTGTACCCGGAACTGGGTGAAGTCAGTGTAGGTGGGGTCATAGGTCTTGTGGTGGGCCTCTAGCAGGATGGTGATGATGTGCTGCTGTTCCTCTGACAGCTTGGGCCGCAAACTATCCTTCAAGGCCTCCTCCTCCTTCCGCTTCAGGATCATTTCCCGCTTGCGCTGCACCTCTTCGTCGGTCAGGATGACTGCAGGGAAAGGCGAGGGAGTCGGGAGGGCCGGCCAGCAGCACCTCCAGGACACCTAACTCCAGCACGACCAGACTCTCATGGCCGACGCTGGCTGTTTAGGGTTTGGGGCTCCCTAGGGGCCCTGCTACTATGGGTGATTCCATACCCATGTGGAGAAAAACTGCCTTTTGTATGTTGCCTGTAAGAGGAAAAAAGAGAATTTGAGAGGCAGAGTGGTCTGACGTTAGAGTCTGTTTTCTCAAGAATAAGGCATGGGGCCAGGTGTGGTGGCAAATACCTGTGATACTAGCTACTTAGAAGGCCAAGGCAGGAGAATCCCAAGTTTGAGCCTAGTCTGGTCAACTTAGCAAGACTCTGTCTCAAGATAAAATAAAAAGAGGGTGGGGATGTAGAATGCTTGCTCGCATGTTCAAGACCCTCCCTTCAACCCCCAGTACTACAAAAATAAATAAATAAATAAATAAATAAATAAATAAATTGTAGGGCATGGGGCTACCTGTTCAAACCTCTTTTTAAGTGTTTGTTGTCTCATTAATAAAAGGAGAAATTTGGATCGTATCATCTCCTCTGAGGTACATTTCTAGTTTCTTCCTCTATAAAATATCTGTGCACACATGTGCATGGATGTGTGTGTGCCAAGTGTGTGTGTGTAAGGGGGGCATGAAGACACCTCCTTCAAAGGACAGACTGTTTTGAGAACTGGATGGCGCTCAGCTGAGCACAGATGCTCACTAAACCTTGGCCCTCTCCCTCCCCTTGCGCCCTACCATGGCCCATGATCCTGAAGGAGACATCAGGGTAAAGCAAGAGTGAAAGGGGAACCGTGTGTCACTTGTGGTGCGGGAATGATGCTAATTTCCCCACATGGAACCCAGGTATCTCTGGCCAACACAGAAGACTTTGCATCTTCGGTTCTCTGCCAAACAACCCCTTCTCTGGCCTGTCCAGTCTTGAAATTTCTGCTCCACCAAGCTTTGGATCCTCTTGGAGTGCCTGAAGTCTGACGCCTACAGCTCTAATCTGGGATGCCCTCTCCAAGTCACTAGCTGGTGTTCAATTATGGGAAACCCTCTGCCACCTATGGGCTTGTGCAGGGGCTTCTGCTGTACTGCTCTGGGGCATCTGCCCAGGAGGGCAGGGTGGAGCAGAGATGCCTGGCAAGGCAGCCAGGCAAACAGACCTCCTGGCCAGGGCTTGCAGACCGCTGATGGCAGGAGTGGGCACTGGGGCCCTCAGCCTGTAGCTGCTTGTTCTGTGTTGGAGCTGCCAGGGTATCTGCCCACAGAACTGGGGCATTTCACAAGAGCAGGGAAAGGAACCAGAACCCCAGAATGGGTGGGTTCCAGGCTTCAACAAAGGTGGGTTGGCTCAGGCCCCTTGGTAAGACAAGGCTCAGAGAAGTTAGTAGCAGTGAAGAAGAGCCTGCACTGTGCGAGTGTGTGTGTGTGTGTGTGTATGTGTGTGTGTGTGTGTGTGTGAGGGGGGATGGACAACCAAGCCACAGGCATGGCAGGAAGGAGAAGCCTATAGCTAGGTAAGGAATACCTAGAGGAGGGCTGGGAGGAGGCCATGCCCCAGTGAGTGACTCACCTGCCCAAAGAGCTGCCATGCCTCCTCCCACAGAGGGTATCTGCTCAGACCCTAAGAGGTCAAGCAGGGTGGGAGAGAAAGAAGCAGGGTACATCTCAGGCAAAGGAAGGGGTGAAGGCCCTTACTGGGCAAAGCCCAGATTAGGCATCTGATCTTTGCTGCTCATCTGAGAGGTGGAGTGCTAGGGAGGCCAGTCTCTGCCAGTGAGACCATGAGCGTCCATAGGCATGTTGCTCAGCTAACTGGGCTTCAGTGTCCTCCTGTGTTCTATGATATTACTCTCCTGCTTAGGAACTTTTGCTGGCTCCATACTGCTGACTATGTCCAAGCCAAAGTCAAGGCTGTCCATGATTTGGCTTCTTCCTAACTTCCCGGTCTCATTCCCTGCACTCTGGACACAACTTCTGCTTCAGGCTGGTTGTCGCAGCTGGCCTGTGAGTGTGACCTGCTCACACCTGTCACTGTCTTTCCACCTGTGTTGGGTGCCTGGACGGCTGGGGCCTTTCTCCCTGGTGGCTGTGAGAGCCCCATCCTTCCCTCAGTGCCCAGCCATCCCCTTCTGCCACAAAGCCTTTCTCGACTGCCCTGATCTGCACTGAGCTCTTGTTTCTTTTGCCTGACGCAGTCTTTTCTGCACATAGTGGCACCTAATTGTCTTCTATTCTTCAAGACTCATGATTAGAACAGGTTTGAGTAAATGCTTACAGAGAGAACCTAAGAAGTTCAAAATCTCCTTTACTATACAGTGAGTACTTAAGGGCAGGGTCCCTGACTTTCCATTCTTGTGTTTTCCCCACAGAGGTAGCCCAAGGGGCTTCCGGGCTTCCGTGTTTGCTGGGTAGTCTGCACGTTAAACACAGCAACACAGCTTGCATCCACTGTGCAAGCCATTTTCCCAGGTTCAGGGAAGGACGAGGAGTACCCCAAGCCACCTGCACCCTGTAACATCGGGTATGACACACACAGCAGGCCAGGCCACTGGGGAGCTGAGCAGAGCTTACTTCTTCTTTTTTGGTACTGGGGATCGAACTTGGGTCCTTGCGCTTGCGCAGCAGGTGGTGAAACCACTGAGCTAAATCCCTGGCCCTGAGCTTACTTCTTTTACTTAAATAATTGTGACTGAAATATTTGCAAGACAGACTATCATGTGATGCAATACCCGTAACATCCCATAACCTTTTCTCCATGACTCAGAGACATCATTCTGAATGACCATGGAACTTTGCAGGACCAGGTGATGAGCTCAGAGTCACAGCTTTGGAGCCCCTGTGCTACTTTCCACAGCTTCCAGGCTCCGCCTCTCTGGTAAGCTACAGGTCATCTCTTCTTATTGTTGCCTGCCTCAAGAAGTTTGCCTTCCTCCCCTTACAAGGGGCCTCTGATCTGTTAGGAGACAGAGATCCTGGTGACCAAGCTTGTTGTAATAAAAAGATGATAATGGGCCGGGGATTTAGCTCAGTGGTTCTGCGGCCTGCTGTGCAAGCACAAGGACCTGAGTTTGATTCCTGGTACCAAAAAAAGAGATAATTATAATGGATAATGTACAGGTTTTTTTTTTTTTTTTGGCTCAAACGCAGGACTTTACGCTTGCGAAGCTGGCGGTGGAACCACTGAGCTAAATCTCCGTCCACAATGTACAGTTTTTAAAAATGTACTAGACACACTTCTAAGTGCTTTTTGTACATCAACTCACATATATTTAGTCCCGGTAATAACCTCTTAAGGCAGGGGCTATTATTATTCCCATTTTGCAGATGAGGAACTGAGGTCTGGAGAAGCTATATATTGTGCTCCAAGTCACACAGCTAACAAATGGTAGTGCTGGTATTCAGACCTGGCAGTCTGGTTCTGGAGTCAGTGGCTGTTGCCACAATCCCAAACTCCCTCTGATTAAGCTAGTTGTGACTGCGCCTAGAACTCTGGCCCTCAGCCATGGAACCTGACACCCAGGGTGTTTCAGTCCATCGGAGAAGTATGAGAATTCAATAAAGCAGCAAGGTTTGTCAATGATTCAGTTTAAGAAGACAGAAGATTCACGGTTGAACGTGCACCATCCTTCTCCTGAACCACTTGCCTGCAGTAGCAGTCCAGGTCCAGGGGGGCGTGGGCAACACTAGAGGTGGAAACTGAAAGCCTCCCTCAGGCTGCATTGTGTAGGGACTCAGTGAGCCCTAAGTTTCATGAATATACAGACTGATTTATGAAATAATTTGGGTAAAGGGGTTAATTTTAGAGGAAATTTTTTATCATGTTCTCAAATAACTGATAACTAAAATATCATGTAAGAAGACACATGTTTTGAAGTGAAAATTCACTGACAGAATAAGCTAAGAGGATTTATTGTTTTGTGTTTTGAGTATTGTGGATTGAACCCAGCACCGAGGTATCCCAGCCCTTTTTATTTTTTATTTTGAGGCAGAGTCTCACTGTTACTCCATTACCCAGGCTGGCCTCAAACTTTCAATCTTCCTGCCCCAGCCTCCCATGTAGCTGGGATTACAGGCACACATAACCCACTGCACCCAGCAAGAGCTAAGACTAAAGAGTTTAATGGGCTCCTGACGGAATGAAGTGTGTGAGCTTTGCTACAGTATCTGGAGACCATGAAAGCAGTTCACTGTTCAACAGCTTTCCTGACTTCCTTCTAAGTTCCTTGTTGGGTGGGAAATGGCTTTGCCCAAGTTATTCCCACTCAAGACATGTTCCCTGACTAATGAAGTCTAGAATCAAGTTGGGAAGAGATCTATAGACATGAGTAATTTAAAAACATTTCAAGATGCCAGTGGTAACCTAAGGACAACAAGGAAGAGGACATAACATTTTTTCCAAATAAATGACACAGACAATATAAGGTTTGGGATAATCTTACTGAGCCCCACAAGACTGGCCTTGCAAGAAGACAGACCTATGTTACATGGAACACTGGCATCTTATTAGCTCCAAGATCTCATGCTTTAATTCCTTCCAGCTTTCTTAGCTACTAAGAAAAAGAAGTATTTATATATTTAGGGATTGTTGTAAGAATTTAGGAAGAAAATGCATGTGCTTGATACAGTATCTAGTGAGTGCTCAACAAATACTGCTCATGCCCTTTCCCTTCCTCTCCCTGAACCCTGGGTTTTTAGATCCCTCCCTATGGTTTTACAAATGTTGAGATACTCGATCCTCTTAGGGGAGGGTAGGCCTTGGGGACAAGAGCCAGCACCATGGATCAGTGAGCAGCCCTCCCAGGCCCAGACACACAAGTTGGGGTAACACAGGCAGGGTCTACATCTCTTGTGGGACACCCGGCCTTCAGGGCAGTAGAAAGGAGTGGCCCTGTGCTGGCCCCACAATTTATTCTAATTGGAGCTCTGGGCCCAGAGTGCCCAGCCCACCCACAGCTCAGCACAGCTCCCTTCACTGAGGTCATGAGAGCAGGTAGGCAGGATGCGTCAGGGGATTCCATGGAAGTAGGATCAGTCTGAGGCATTGTGCTGATTTGGGAGTGAGGTTCACTTCTGGACAGATACTCCCACCATGTAGTGTGGTATTCCTGGGGCAGGAACCCCTGATTTAGCACCTGGGGCCTGGTGGTGCTCCTCACCATGGATATCTTGCTCATTATGGGACCCAGAGGGGCCTAAAAGGGGGACATGAGTTGGATTCTAGTCCCAGATTGGCCATCAAATTGCTCTCTGACCACAGTTCTGATGTTTTCCTTTTCTGGGCCTCAGATGGTCTCTGTTTGTCCTCTTCTTGGTTAATAGGACACCTCCTCCTCCTGAGATACAGGGCGGAGGCATCTGGGGCATCAACTAGGATGGCCCTAACTCAGTGCTTACTGACCCACACGTGGAGCCCTTGCCATTCTTGGATGGCTGAAGCCTTCGAGGCCTAGGCCCCCTGCCCTGAGGAGGTACCAAGCTGAGTAGAGTCAGGGCAGGTGCTGAGCCCTGATGCCTTGGTGCCCACGCAGTGTACCCCATGGAGCAGGCTCCCTAAGGATATGTGCATATTCCATAAGGTATCCAGATTTTGGGCCTCCATATTCTTACTCTCTCCAGCATAAACACAGGAGTCGGGGTGGGGCAGGGCCTGGGTAGAATCATTCAGCATGTCTAGGCCTGTACATTCCAGTGGGAGTGGGGAGGAGCAAGGGCCTGGGAACTCCTCCTAGGACTGCCAATGGTGGCTGGGGAGCTGGGATCAGGAGTGAGGAGCCTTGGTCAAGGCCAGGAGGAAGCCCAAGATGAGGGCCCTGACTCTGCCTCTGTTTCCAGCAATAGTAAATTTTATTCCCATTAAGGAAGAAATTTCCCACCCCCTAAATCCTATCCTATGACTTTCCCCCTCTTCCTGACATCTGTCCTCACCCTACTTTTCCTAACACAGCCCCATAGTGAGGAGGGCTTCCAGGGGCCTGTATCTGAGCTACTCCTAGGATTCCTCAGGTCCACAGCTTGGCAGAACATGACTCTGTTCTAGAACTGGGCTGCGTTCACACTGCAGACAGGGCCATGTGTAGGGGCTGGGCAAAGATGAACGTGCAGAAGGCCCCTGCAGGCCTGACCCAGCCCCCTTGCTCCTGCCCAGGGAAGGCTGGCGAGCCCCTTCCAGTGCCTGCTGCATTCAGTGTTTACTCTGGTCACCAAATAACTGTACTAGAGCTCAGATGCAAGTGTCCAGAGATGCAACTGTCCAGAGCTTGTCTTTAGTGGTGGGTCAGAACATCCCTGTAAATCTGCTACATTGCTCCTCTTTTCCAAGCAGGACAAGCTGCACAACCCGGGGCTTGTCCTAGAGCCCTGGTAATTCCTCTCACAGATCTTTCCCCCTAGTTTCCCTGGGCACAAGTCTCCAGATCACTAGAGTCTTGAGTATCAATCACCCTTTCCTCCAGGAAACACCTCCCAGGGAACAAATAGGGAGTATGACAATGCTAGAGGAAGCCTGTGGCTTGGGGGTCACAAGGGAAGGGACCATCCTGTCCTCCCTTCTCTCAGGCCTCACTCTGAGGGGTCTTTCCGAGTCTCTGAAGCACAAGCACAAGTCCTAGAGAGGTTAACAGGAGCCATGGGTATATTTAACCCAGCAATTCCCAGCCTTGCCCCTGGCTGTTGTTCTGCTCCCACCCGAGCTCCCCGTATGGGACGTGCACAGCCACAGAAGAGAGGACACCTCTCTGGTGAGACTTGTGTGATAGTGGCCAAAGCCTTCTGGGGACCCCAGTCCAGCCCCAACCTCTGCTGGGCCCCTCCCTGGTCACTCACACTCCTTCATCATGCCGATTTCCACACAGCGCTTGAGCCGGCAGGCCTGGCAGTGCCGCCTGTTGTCTTTGGTGATTCGACAGTCCCCATTGAAGGGGCAAGTGAACAGTGCCTTCCGCTTCATGCTCCGCCTGCCGAGAGAGCACACACCCTGCACTGGGTCACTGACTTTCAGGCTCCTTAGCCCTGGCTATGAGTAGGTCCCAGATCTCTGTTTCTACCCTGGAGGATGTGGGACCCATCCCAGCCCCTGGGCTACTTGGAGTGACCTCAGCACCCTGATCTGGGCTGTGTGCACCAACTGGCCTCTCCTTTTTCCTTTAGAGCCTACTTGGCTCCCATCATTGCTTTTACTTACTTTTACAGTCCCCTGTCCCCCTCCCTCCTTTTTAATTACACAGGAAATACACAAGTGAATTTTCCTAGTAAAATTTTATAAAATACTGAAATCTGCAGAACAGCCCTCATAATGGCTTTTAATTAGAGGCAAACATGCTAGTCTCAGCTCCAGAGTCCAGAGATGTGAGACTGGAATCCTTGTGATCCCAGAATGGACACATGCATAGGTACACAGAGAAGGGGGAAAAGGGCTCACAGTCCAAACCATCTCTCTGGATGTCCAGACAGCCTGTCCGGAAAAAGAAGAGGCCAGGCGAGCAGGTAGGAGTCCTGAGGTTGGACCTCGGCTTTCTGCCAAGATGACTATAAACTGCAAGCACTGCAAAAAGGCACTAAATAAAACTATGAAAAAGTTTTTTAGGTAGGAAGAACCCCCCACCAAGCTGCCCCATTCTGTGTAACACTGTGTGTGCTCAGTGTGTGTGGGGAGTGTACAAGTGTACACCCTTGCATGCATATGTAAGCTCGAAAGCTCATTTCCCTAATTGCTCATTCTCTTCCACTGTGCTGTGGACTTTGGAAGGCTGCATAGAGGATGGATCCTTTAAAGTTTCTCACCATCCTCTTCTAGAGGCTCCTGGTACTCATCTCAGCCCCAGCAAGGATAGACCCCACCTTTCTCCCAGGGCAGGTAGCAAGAGTTAGCTGGGAAAAACAATAGCCTAAAACTGTGGCAGCATCCCTTGCAGCATGAGTGGCAGCATCTTCCAAGGAGCTGCTGAGTGGAGCTGCCCGAGCCTCAGGGGCAAAGGCCCAGCCCACTGCTTCTCCTTCCAGAGATGAGCAAGTGATGGCACCCTATCTGGTTGCTGGATGCTAGCTACGATCCTTGGTAAACAATCACTCACTGCTCAAGATTAAGGGGACACACTCGGGGTTTAAGACAACAGTTGACAAGCTCAGATGGGGATCAGAGACTAGAGCGAGGCTCTGCATAGCCACAGGCAGTCACAGACTCTTACACGCACAGTGACCCCAAGGGATGCTTAGTGTGAGCCCCTTATCTAACAGACGGGACTGCTGAGTTTAAGGAATTTATCAATCAGGCTATTCAGCACAGAGTGAGGACCTCAGGTCTGGAAGCCTTAGGGGTTCCAGGCTCAGCTTCCAGCTTCCTGGATAGTTTTCAATCCCAGAACTTCAGTGAAGTTCAGGTTATAGGCAAATAGTTTCAGGCAGCTCAGAGCCAAGAGGGACCCAGTGCCCAGGCAAGGAGCCACTGTCAGTTTTGGGTCTTGGCTCTGGTAGCCTTCTGTGATGACCCTTCTTACTCCAAGGCAGCAGCAGACCTAGGATGTGGGGAAGGTGGAGCAGTGCCAGACCATTAGGGACAAATCTATCCCAGCCTGGAGAGAGACTGAAGGAAGCAAGAAGCTTTTCACTTTCACCCCTGTACCTCTACTACAGGGATGTCCCTCTCAGAGGAAAAGAAGAATATGAAAGCACTCAGGAACTGTTAGGGTTACCCAGGAGTGATGCTGTCACTATTTCAGGCCAATCTGTGTATCCCAGGATGAGATCTGGGTACCTCAATGCCTTTCCCTCCTTTTTCTCTGTGGTTCTCAAGGCTTCACCTGCTACTACTCATGCCCACAGCACTCTACACCTACTCAAGACCAGAAGTTTCTAATTCAGAGAAAACTCTCATTTCCCTTTTTTTTTAATAACCAGGTATCTTGCCCACATCTGAGTGGCTGCTCTATCCTCAGACCCACCCACTGTCCTGTCTGGCTCCAACGCTTCCTGTGAAGTGTCCAGGCCATGGGACCAAGAGGAATACAGCCAGGGACACTAGCCAAACCTTCAGCCAGTCCCTTCTGGGGTCTAGAGCTTTCTGAGATCCCATGAGAGGGCCTGGGGCCTTCAGGGGCCCACCTGTCCTTCCTTGGGATTTAGGGGCCCTGCCTCTGTTCCTTATGGCAGGGGAAAAGCCCTCCAACCACAAGGTTACCAGGAAAAATATTTTCGCGCTTCACTGTCTTTTATTTGTTTTCTAAATCTTACTCATGTTTTAAATCTGAAGCCCAATTTCAGGCTTCCACACACCAAATGTTGGAAAGAGCCACTCAGCACAACTTCCCTTGAGGGCAGGAATGGGCCCTAATGAGGCTGGGGGTCAGAAGACTAGAAATGCAAAGGTGGGTTAAAAGAAAATATTTGGGGGACTCACACCAGTTTCGTGCTTCCAGTTATGAGTTGTAGTATGAAGCTCAAGAGTATCACAAAGGAGAAGAGAAGGGAGAGGAGGAACATGAGATGGAGAAAGAAGAAGAGAAGAACAGAAAGCCTGCAGCTTTCTGGAGCCCAGCACAGGAGCGCACAGTGGGGACTGGAGCAGAGGAAGATTGCAGCCTGTGCCCTTGGCCTTTGCATGCAGCCCCTTGGTGTGTCTTCACATTATTGGAGCAAACAAAAGCAGCCTATTAATTTCTGGAGCTTTAAAACTACTATATTTGAAAATACAGCAACCAGCTCTTCCCTATTACTCTCAAAACAGTACCAGAGCAAAAGAGATGGTGGCTAGGAAGATGGAGGTTGGATGTCCTGCTCTGGAGTGTGGGGTCAGTGTTTGGGGGATGGAAAGTTCATCCGTTGGCTTTAATAGCCAGTCCCGTGTTCTTCCTAGAACCAGACCTAGATTCCTGGGCTGGCCTTCCAGGTGTTTGTGGTGGAGTACGAATGTTTACTGGGCTACAAGTAGGTCCTGTTGGTTTACAGGCCAACTTATCCCCTGTCCTGCTGCCTGCCTTCTGAGGGTGCTTCCACACATGTGGTTGTCATCTAGTCTCTGCCCACAAGGAGCCAGGGAAGCCAGACCGCTCAGCCATGGGTCAGTGTTTTGTCCTGAAGATCCACACCCTAACCCACTTTCCTCCCAGTGCTAATTGCCTACGAGCTGGTTTGGTTTTGAGAAACAAGAGCCTTGGGATTTCATAGGGGCATAAGGTCTCATCGGCTCTCTGAGCCTCAACCCTGTCATCCTCTGGATGGTTGGCAATTATATCCTAGTTCAGGAAGGGCGACAGGGGTGGGGCAACCAGCTAAATATAGACATAGTTTCTAGAAAGCCAGGGGTGAGAGAGGACATTGACGATTCTCATGCCAGAGACCAATTCATCAAAACATGAAAGAGACAAGATGCTTACAAAAGTATCAAGTGCCATGGGCTGGGGCCTCAGGGATGGGACAGGAAGGCCTCTCCTCAAGTGGGTGGCCTCTGCCTGCAGCGTGGGGTCAAGTGGTTCCCGTGGGCTCTGTCTGTTACTGAGTATCACTGAGACCTCGGTGGAGGTGGGTACAGTGAGAAATTACCATTTGGCATATATTGGAGAGAGATTGTCTCCATTGCTTTTAAACAAACTTCAGGGATAGGCATGCCTATTTTACAAGTGATACAAAAAAGTACGGGAAAGTTAAATAACTCGCTTAATGTCCCTCCCACAGTTAATAAGTGCGAAAGCTGGGCTTAGAACCAAGACTGTTTGACTCCAAAGCTTCTGCTCTTTTTAATACTAAGGTCTTCACGAGAATCTGCCAGCTCTCAATCAAAACTAGAGCAGCAATCAAAAGGATGCCTCCCTAGAGCCAGGAGCAGGAAGCTGAGGCTGTCTGAGGGGTCCTCCTTTGTCTGAGGGCAAAGAAGCCCCTGGGTACAGGCAGTCCCGAGATGGTTGGTTTAGAAGTGTAGAGAAACTTCTAAAGCTCCACTGGCCGTATATTGTCTAAGCACAGAGCATAGTCTCAGAATATGCTGAGAGGGATTTGATGTAAAGAAGCCCAGATCAGAGAGTTAAATTCCTAAAGAAATAAAACAATGAACAAAAGGAAATGTAAGATATTCATCTTTTTGCAACTGTCTTTCTGTCAGTTCCCGTGATCTTCCCTTCCTCAATAAGCCTTTTGGCCTCCCCCCGTCAAGCTCCCACGAACTGCGCTGGACCAGCCACAGAGAACCACACTCACTCTCTCTACTTCACAGCCTCGAGCGTCTATGGAGGGAAACCACCTGACCTGGACAAGGTTCTGTCCCGCAGCCTGTGTCCATGGAATGCCCGTGTAGCCCTCCTCTCACCCTTTCTACTCACTCGACTGTCTGTCAGCACACGGAGTTTTAGGCCCTGGGCATTTGCTCCATCTCTCTGCTTCTTTTCTCATCAAAACTCTTCGAAGAGCTACAAATATCAGTTAGTTGATCTTTCAGAAAGCCAGAACATTCCTCATGTTCCTGGGTCCTCACCAGCCTGCCTTTCACCCCCTGTTCTCCTCAAGGCCCATAATTAGCAAGGTCCCTGAGGACCTTGGTGACTAGCAAAGAAAAACACATTTCTGTCTGTTATCTTGAAGTTTGTGCTGCACAGCTTCACAATGTCATAATTAAGAAGGTATGGACAGAGAGGAAGAAAAGAGAGAGAGACAAACAATGAACTGTTCCTTAACCCACCTTAGTCTCTTAGACTTCACCATGAAGCTTTGATTTGTTTTTTGCTTTTTGCAGACCTGGGAATGGAGCCCAGGATCCTTGCACCAAACCACATCCCCGACCCTTTTTATTTTTTAATTTGAAGACAGGATCTCACCAAGTCACTGAGTTACCCAGGCTGGCCTCAAACTTGTGATCTTCTTGCTTCAGGCTCTCAGAGTGCTAGGATTATAAGCATGCACCTTCCATTTATATTGAAACTTAGATAAACCTATCCATGACCAGAGATTCATCTATCTATCTATCTATCTATCTATCCGATTTTTTTAGTAGATCCACCCCTCCCCCAATTCCTTGGCCCTTATTTATGCTATGGTTAACATATAGCCAAGAAGTTCTAACCATCTACAAGTTTACTTGAACAGATCTTTTATTCACACTGAAAATATTATCTTTCTTTGACCATGTCTACGTGCTCCAGGGTAGTAGGAAGTTGATACCACATGAAATAACGTGTACAAGGAATTGACCAGAAATGCCTCCAATTCCTGAATATAGGTCAAGAGAACTGGGCTCCAACCTTCTAACCTTCACATTCACTCTCTGGTTTGATTATGAGTCTTGGACTTGCCAGTATGCCATAAGTAGCCCTCGGAGCACTTCAGTTTGACTATCTCAGGAGCTAAAACAAACATTAAATGACCAGTCTCCAGAACTTGAAAAGCAGCCAGTGACCCCACACTAAAGCAATACTCTCTCCTGAGAACTTTCATGATGTGGTTGAGGGAGCTCTTTAAGGACAAGGACTTGGGCACACTCATCTCTAGGTTCGCCTGACACAGAGAAGACACCAACCACTTCCTGGGATCAGAATTGCACAAACAAATATAAGGGACAACAAAATTCTTAAGCAACCATTTGTACTGGGATAAAATGGAAAAAATTGTAAATAAGATTTGGATGGAACAAAAGAGGAGTAATGGGGTGGGGAAAAAAGGAGAAATGATACAGATACAGTCTTGTAATTCACAGTAGTTATGATCTATAAAGTCACTGTGCACACTGGATTAGTGAGTGTGCTCCTGCAGAAAATATGGAGTTAGGTTCCTGTGAGCCTCTGGTGACAACATCTTCATCAACTGATGAATGCATAATCTTGGTGTGTATGCATTTTCTTCTAAAGAAACCTTATTTAATATATGTGCAATATATTTTGTTGATTTAGTAATAGTGAACCAACAGCCAATAGCTCATCTCTGAATAATGCTTCTCTAATATATGTGCTTCTCCATAAGGTTCATCATGAGTTTCTCGTGCTTAAGAACACTAGAGAGCATGTTGGCACTATGCTTGGGAGCCACTTTCAATAGTGAAATCACCAACAAAAATCACAAAAATACAAAAAAAAGTAGCACTAAGTAGATTGTTGAAAGGGTGCTTGTTTTAGTGTGAGAGCTGAAACAGAAGGCAGAGACATCACCTTGTGCAACTTCTCCTGGAGACAGGTGCCACCTCTGTTTGGGACATGGCCATCAGGACACTTAGCTCTTTATGGCTTTGCCCATGTTTGTAAAATGACCACAAAGGTGCTACAAGCTTTGATTTTGGTAAATTTTAGCAAGTTGGCAAGTTTGCAAATACAGACACCCCAAATAATGAGGGTGGAAGATAGGCATATGTGTATGTTTATTTAATTTTATTTATAGACAGACAAAATTGAAGCCAAACCACAAAGATGTTGGCTGTTTTAGAAAGGGTACCCTGGCTCAGTCACCTATACAGGGGGGTAATGAGAGAAGCTAGATATGAGTATTGAATGTTTAAATTAAAAGTTTACTGCAGTAAATGATACATTGCCATTAATTTCACTCAAAACATGCCCCCTCACTTCAAACACACTTATCCCATCATTCTTGCCATTTCCTGAACCATTTCTAGAAGTCCTCTTTGACAAGTGTCTTAAAAAGTTGCACTGTTGTGGCTGCCTCAATGTCCTGAATCTATCAAAACATTTACCTTTTGTGTCATTTTCACTTGGGGAAGAGTCAGAAGTCACATGGTTCCAAAAGATTCAGTGAATAAGGTGGATAAGGACACATCATAATGTTTTGTTTTGTTTTGTTTGGTACCGGGGATTGAACTCGGGTCCTTGTGCTTGCGCAGCAGGCGGCGACACCGCTGAGCTAAATCCCCGGCCCACATCATAATGTTTTTAAGAGCCTGCCTTTCCATTGGATGGCACTCAGCAGAAGCATTCGCTGTATTTTTGATTCTACCTTGTAAAGATAGTCATGAAAGAGAACTCCAGAACTGCTTCAGAAAGTGGCCAGAATGATGGGATATGTGTGTTCAAGTGAGGGGGAATATTTTGAGGGGGATTAATGGCAATGTGTCCTTACTATAACAATTTTTTTTAAAAAAAGACTAAACATTCACCGTAGTTTTTGGTCATACTTGGAGAAGGGTAACAAGACCACAGCACCGATTGCCTGTAACAGCAGACCATTCAGGAGTGGTGGTGGCCATCAGTTAACAACTAATTCTAAGGGGCCCTGTTGAGAGGGACTTGGGTGGGGGGTATAATAGTATCACACGCCCACAAGCAGCACTGCTGCACTATGGGTCCACAGTGACACACATGTGCAAACGTGCCATCATTGTCCACTCTGCCATCTCCAACACTCAGCCATGGGCATGACAGGCCCTGTCCTCCCTCCATTCAGATGCCTCCACACTCCTGTCCAGAGCATCATGCACCTAGTGGTCGGCCAGAGGGCAGCAACTGCAGGCGCATAGGAGATAGTGGTGCTGTAGTGAGAGATTTCTTTAAGTTTCACTGAGAGCATCAGTGTTGGCCTATCAGGCTCAAAAATAATACCTTTACATTGTACTTTATGCTCTTCAAAGCACTTTTATACCTGGCACCTCATTAATCCTCAGCTTACCTATGTACAGCAGAGGGGTCAGATATTACACACACAGGCAATTAGTTAACTAGAACACAGGGAAGTCAAGGAATTTGAGCAATGGCATATAATTAATTAATGGCATGGCTAGTTCCAGCCTACCTGTTTCTGGCTGGTTTTATGATGGGAAGCAGGCCCTGATGTGTATACCCATTATCTCTCCAAAGGCAGCTCCCTCGCTCTCAGGCCCTGGCAGGAAAGGATCCAAGTGGCACTTGGCACGCAGGACCCAGACTCCGGAAGGCCCACCCTACAGAAAGTGTGGGCTTCAGCCCTGAGGACTGACAGATCCTCAATAGGACATAGGTGCAGTGATGCTGCTGGTCTGGTTCCTCCAGGTAGGGTGTAGCCTTCTGGGAAGCCAAGCAGGCAGACTATGCCGGGCCACACAGGCAATCAGCACCCACAGCAACTCCACTGCCCAGGTACTGCTCAAGGCCTCGGAACCCTGGGCCTGCTGGCTCCCAGGTGGAGGGCGAGTGAGTTGGGACCCCCGGGCTGGAGTAGAGTCCCCTACAGGGCCTGCCCTCAGAGTGACTCTACCATTGAGGCCAGGCAAGCTCATCAGTTCAGACAGAAGCCGGGCTAGCCTCAGCTTCCTCCCTCTGGTCGGGATTCATTTCTGCCAGTCTTGATGTTTAGAGCTCTGTCTTCCTCTTTCCCCACCTCCGGTCCAGACTGTTACCAGCTCTTTCCTGGGTGCCCTCTTCCAGGCCACTTTCTCGCTCCAATACATGCCAGATGTCCATTTCTCATGGTCTCCCTTTTCCCCCTCAAGCCAACCTGTTTCTGTCCTCCCTCCTCAGTGTTAAAGAGGAACATCCTTTGGCCTTTCTAGAACTTCGTTGCAGTTTGTTTTTGGAATCCTGGACTCACGGGAGAAACACCAGCTGTGACCAATGGGCTAAGAATGTAGGTACCGTTCAGCACTTTCTGGGTACCTGCAGTTGGCATTCAGAACTGAGATAAGCCCGCCACACGTGAAGGGTTGGGCATAGATCAGGCATGGTGGCCTATCTAGGGGTACAGCCTCCTTTGTTTCAAGGAGCAGTTTGGGTTGGATGGGAAGGCAAGCATAGAACCCAGGCTTCAGGGCTTTTCCAAAGACACATCTGATTAAACTGCTAGATTAGAAGCTGCCATCATCATCAGGAAGGAGGCCCACTCAGAAGCATGGACATGCGTAAGTGCAGGGGTCTGGTGTTAGGGCTAATGGAAAAAACAAAACCTCCTAAGAAAGTGACTTCTGAGAGGGCCAAAGACTCAGCTGAGCCAAGAGGAGGAGGAATAAGAAACCCTTCACCAAGACCCCACTGCTCACAGTGGATGTGAGAGTTGACTTGTTCTGTGGACCTGGTCAGGAAGGGGTCATGAAAAGCACAGGGGTCTTCTTCCAGGGACAGTGGTGCTCTTGTCCCTCCTTTTCCCTCAGTGGGAGCCTGGCAGGAGACCTACCTGAAGAAGCCTTTGCAGCCTTCACAGGTCATAGCGTTGAAGTGGAAGCCCGTGGCTCGGTCTCCACATACCCCACAGATCCGGGGCATGTTTCGGTCAAAGTCACTAGGGTCAGGTAGGGAAGTGCTGGCTCCCATTGCTTCCATGTCTGCAAGAACATCAGAGAGGCCACAGTCAGGGTCAGTGTTAGTGCCAGGGCCAGCTTGCATCCCTTGCAACCCCATTCACCATCATGCTGGAGAGCTCAGCACAGCTGCATGGCTCCCTAGAGCCCAAGCCAGACTGCATGGTATGTCTTTCCCTAGCCAGCCAGTGCAGCACAGAGCAAGGCTGGAATCTAAATGCTGCATTTCTAGGGCTCCTGGAGCAGGGCGTTCCACTTCTGTGTACCTTCACTGTCCTCATCCGAAGAGGGATTCACTCCATGGGGTATGCAGTGAAGGGTGATCTTAATGCCGCTGGTACCTGTCCACCCCATAACAGATAGCAACAGGTCACAAGTCTCTATGTGGCTTGCTGTGCCCTCCAAGAAAAAACTAGAGTGTCTTCTAATGTCCAAACCCAAGTCCTGTCATTCCAGGTCTCGCTCCTTGAATCCACACAGCTCGGGACCAACTGGCCTAGAGTCCTTGGTATCCTGGTACCAAGCTATTTCCCCTTACTTTTTTGCAACAACCTTTGACATTACTTTGAACATCCTTTTGAGCAATATTAGTCATATACAATTAACTAATTCTGTTTTCAGAGACGGTGTTTACAAATAAGTTTATCATCTAGAGATGGATTTCACACTTGAGGGGAAGGGAGGGAAGGGGCAAAGTGTAACTGCTCTGGGAAGCCCCGCTCAGGAAACGGCTGACTCCACTCATCCATGAGGCAAATTGGTCTTGGCTTTGCCTGCTGCTTCTGATCTGACTTCCGGGGTTAGGCCCAGGGATGACTCTGGGACACCTCAGGCCTTCCCAAAGTGCTTTCAGACCCTGCTGCTCCCAGGACTCCATTTTATCCTAACCTTCGCAAGACTATTGTGGGTTTCAATGGCCCCTTTGACCCAAAGCAAGAGGGTCACCCAGGTCAGGAGAAATAGGAGAGAAAGCCAGGATTCCATTTCCTCCCACCCCTAGGGGAAAGAAGTGGACTGTGGGCACCTTTGGAAGGCGCTGAGCTACTTTTCAATGGCCGAGCAGCCCACGATCTCTGAGGCAGGATCTGCAATGTCAGAGCTCTTCAGAGTCTTGAGTCTACTGTGTCATCACAGCACCCCTCAGAGGTAAGGCCAGAACACCCAGACTTTGAGGCATCTCTAGTGGGTGCTACTGCCAAATGCACAGATACTTAATTGAAAACAATGTTGATAAAGAGCTCAGTGCCAGGGGAAGAAAAGAGGGCAGAGAGGCAAAGATACAGCGTTGGCACAAAGGGAATCCTGGTCAGACAGACATAGCTCCCCTAACATTTCAGCTTTTCTTTTCCTGGAAACTTTAATGCAATAATGGTGACACTGTTGCCTTTCACTGCTAGGTTTATACTTGTTAAAGGAGGGGAAAGAGAGAGAGAACCAGGCATGGCAGCACATGCCTATAATCCTGAGTTTTCAAAAGGGCAGCAAAAAGGTCCGTAGTGTGCTTTCCTAGCATTTGTAAGACCCTGGTTATCCAAAGCACTGCAAAACAATAAGAGTGATTAACAGAAACCTTTGAGGAGATGAGACTAGGGAGGGTATTTAGAAGCATTATGTATTAGCAATATTCTATTTCTTTGTGTGGTAGATATATGATATCTTACTAAAATACAACATCTGTTTTCTGTGCCCTTCTATATGTATATGAGACCTTAATTTAAAACTAATTAAAAAGAAAAGAAAAAAATGCTTCTGCATCTGTCAACATCATTCTTATAAATGAGCCCAGGTCCTAGCTGACTCCTTCAAATTACTAGAACACATCAGGCATCCAAGATGTGGCCAGTGATCCCAGAGCCCAATATCACTGTGGGGTAACAGCAGAAACTGTCTAGGATGCTTGTGGCTTAACCCTGGATTGACTGAGCTGTTGTAACTCCGAGTCATCATGATGCTGCTACACTGTCTGGATCACCCAGGCTCCCCAACACCCCATGGATTTGGTGAAGAATAGAATGGGAGGTGGAGAGGAATATCAGTCAATCAGTTTAACGAGGGCTAAGCCCCACATGGCCTCATTTGGGGACGTTATGATGCAAAAGAATTAGAACAGCACAAGCCATAGGATGGCCAAGTGCAGCCCTGCAGTGGGGTGAGGTACTGTCTTGACATCAGGAAGTATCCTAGCTGGGGACAAGGGCCCAGATACTGGGCTGGTCCAGACAGAAAGGTAGATCCAGTGGCCAGAGGCCCATAGTGAGCAGGCTCATTGTAGGGGAGCTAAGAGGAGACCCATCCCTGCTTGGGGTTATTTGCTGATGCTTGGAAGTGAACATCCAGAGCCAGAGTCCAAATGTGGAGGTGAGGCCCAGGACTCTATGGTCTGAGAGCTGAACGTTCCAGGAAAGACAGGCAGAGACTACAGAGGGCAGGGGAAAGAGGAGGAGGGAGCAAGAAAGGAAATGTCAGAAACACAGGACAGACTTCAGGGGTCCTTTCCTGGAGCCAGCAAGCCCCTCCTGCTTGAGCCCTCTCTGAACTCCTACCCCAGCCTGGATCCCTGTGGGTCCAGCTGCAGATTCTTCTGACAGGAGACTCATATATGCAAAGGCTCAGGTAGAACTCCCTTTCTTCCTCTTTCCTATGACCCATCCTTGCCCCTCATAAACAAAACAAGCCAGGGAGTTCGTGGCTGGTGGAGAAGCACCCACCTGAAGAAGCAGAGGACAGGTACAAGGAGGCCAGCAGCACTCCTCTGTGAGGTCACAGACACGTCCAACCACAAGGACTCTGAAATGAGCAACAGGAGACATGTTATTTAAAGCACTAGCTGACCTAGCCAGTCTTCTGAGGAGCCAAACAAATGTGTATAAGGTCCTTTCCAGACACCTTAGTCCCCAGACTTGACAGAAGTGAAAACTTGACAGAAGTGACTGCCTGGGAACAGGCAGGTCCTGTTGTTTGCAGCAGTAGCCAGCATGGCTCCCTCTGGGGCAGAGAGTGCAAGGAGCAGAAGGAAGAGGGTGAGGGAAGCACCAGCACTGGGCAAAAGGAAGGAACTTCCTGCAGACATTCCTCTTCCTCCCCCAGCCAGAGACCTGTCCCTCCCACTGCTCTGCTCCCAGATTTTGGGGATGCTCTGGGAAGGAGAACCATGGGGTGGCCTGACACACTGCGGAGAGCAGACAGAAGACAGCTGCCCTAGGCAGGACTGCTGAGGAGTCTCGAAAAAGCTGGGAAGGAGTGGGCTCACTGGAGCCCAGAACTCTGGCCTCCATGTCTGGGATCGCCCACCTGCGGACATTGGTGTAGGTCGGGCAGTGCTGCAGGGGTTAAATACAGTGATGCAGGGCTTTGAAACAGGATGTTTCTTGCCACTTTTAGCTCCTTACCAGACATGTTCTACACCCCCGGCCTTGGGGAAGGTTGAGGTAGGGCTGATCCTATGCCCAGGCTCTGGGTCTTTGGGGCATGACGGGTCACCAAGGTGGGGCTGGCAGAATTTCAGCCTTCCCACTTCTAACCATGAGACAGAGAAATACACACACACACACACACACACACACACACACACACACACACTTCTGCCCTTCTCTGATGCCCACAGGAGGTGACTGGGGAAATACACAGATATGCAAGTACCAGAGCCCACACCTGGCAAAAGCAGTTAGGCCAAACACCAGGTAGGGAAGGTGTGGTCTCTCAGGTTTTGCTTCTCTTCAGAGCCCTTTCTCCTGAGGGGGCTGATTAGGCAGAGAAGGGGAGAGCCCAAGGAGCTTCCAAGACCTGGGCCCAGAGCTAGAACTGCCAGCCACTGAACCTGTTTGCCACCTGTCAGGTGCTGCCAGCCCTAGGGAACAGACAAGGAAAACACTGGTGGATGAGGAGCCAAGCCAAGTGAGGCTGGCCTGCTCCCAGGCCGTGGGTGGTAGGGTGCGCCTGCTGCAGACGAATGTGCCGCTCACCTCCAGCCAGGCTCTCCTTTGCTCCCTCTGCTCCCATAACCCATGTACCCCAGATGGCCACATTCTTCTTGGCTCTACTCAGGCTTCATGGATTTCTTAGGCTCCCTTCTTGCTCCTTAGGAAGGTGGAGGTGAAGGCAAAATGGGTACAGGAAGAATCAACACTTTCCTGTCCTCAACTCCTAAGGCTTTTCAAGTTTAGAGGTGCCATCTAGGTAGATCATTACCCTTGAACTTAAAAAAAAGGTTACAATATATCTACTGTGTGCCAGGCCTAATAAACGCTACATGATTTATTCCAAATCTTACCATAGTTCTGTGAGGTGTGTAACAGACCTATTTCACAGAGGGCAAAACCAAAGCTCAGAGCAATCTGGCTTGTCCAGAGCCCCATGGCCAGGAAACTGCTGGTACTGGGCAAACGAGGACAGGTTGATTGCAGCACCCCATTGCTTTTCTTGCCTCTTGCTAACTCCTCCCATTCCCAGTGACAGTCATCAGAGCTAGGTCCTCCTCCACAGTCTTCATTTAACCCTACAACATTGTCACGTTAGTATGGTTATTATCTCTACGTTAGGAATGAGAAACTGAGGCACAGGGAAATTGATTGTCCTTAGAGCCAGGATTTGGATCAAGGCAGTTAGCTGAGTCTCCACTCTATGGCATTTCCTGAGAGAAATATTTCAGCCATTTCCCCAACCCCAAGCCCTGGACATCCTTTGCTTCCATGAAGTCATGGAGCAAAGCAGATAGCAATCCGTAGGTCATGAGGGGAGAACACTGGGGCTCTTTCCTTTGAAGGGCCTCCCGGCCTGGGGATGGCAGGCCTTAGCCAGGATCTGCTGTCAGCTGCCCAGCCCACATCTTGGGAAAACCCCATCAATGGACGATCCACTCCTTCCCACTAAACTTTTCACTATTGAATGATCCTTTAGGAGAGATTACCCTAGATTTGGACTCTGGTACAAGTGCAACTTGATAGGAAAGTACAGCAAAAATACAGGGTGAAAAAAAGGTTAAGTGGAAAAAACACTTTGTACCCACTTGCCATGTCATACATGCTCCATACCCACCAGCAATCATGTTCTGAATACTTAGGATGTCCCACTGCTTTTGCTGGGGCTGTCCCCAGAGCCACTCCCTCCTGACCCTGCTTTAGAAATACTGGAGTCCCCAGTACTGAGCCTTGAAGAAGCAGAGGGGAGGAGCCAACTCTGCAGAAAGCCCTCGCTTCCATTCTTCAGGGTCTACGTCCCACATCAAATCCCTGCCTGACTTTGACCCCAGTCCCAACCTTCCCTTAGCAAGGAATAAGATCATCTATTTCCTTCCAGTCACTGAAGCCACAACCATAGCCTCTCCACATGTCTACCTGCCAACTCACATAGTAGGGACCCCACCTCCTGGCAGCTTCAGTTAAACCAGTATCCCTGAGGAAAGCCTCACCTGGGACAGTCTTTTGGGGTATCCTGGGCAGATTCTTAGAAAGACAAGGATTAGAATCCTTGCCTCCCCTGGGGCTCAATTTGCCTCTACCACGTTGACTGAACCCTCCTTAGAAGTCTGAGGGTATAGAGCTGTACTCTGAGGAGGACCCAAGCATGGGCAAGAGGTTGACCATTAGTTTTTTCCAGCTCCAAAAATGTGCAACTCCAAGACCAGAGTTCCCATTACATCAAGGCCTTCAGTGAAATTCATTTTTCAATGAGCCCCCAACATACATGCTTAAGCAAGTGAGATCCTCTCATTTGCAGATGCTAATGAGCAGAGAAGGCACAACAGATATGGCCCCAATGGGCCCAAATGGAGTATGGGCACCCAGGAGAAAGGTCCTTGGTCAGCTTGAGACTGGAGTGATTAAAACTGGCCTTTCTAAGTGTTGGCATTAGCTCAAAGCTCCCACTCCTTCTAGAAAGAAATGGAAAATAAAACAATTTCCTTGCAGAAAAGAAAATTATTCTTTAAAAACTGACATACACAGAGTGAACCACACATTGGGTTCTCTGGAACAAGCAGGCCTGGATACCCACCAGCCCTAACTGCCATGTACTTGAGTGCACATGGCCTTTTCTTGGTGTTTTTCATTTCATCATCCTTTTGACTCTGCCCAGGAAGCACTGAGCACTGTAGAACCTACCTAACTTTGCACTTACCATCTCTTTATTCTAGCACATGATAGGCAAAGTGATATCATGGCCAGCTAGGATGACACTTTTTCTTCTTTATCCACCATCCCCACCATACACCCACTTTCTTTGTTCAGAACAATCTCAGTATCACCTTCTAGAAGCTGAGAGAAGACAGAGTGAAAATGAGGAAAAGGGGAGAGGGTTAACTGTATAAATAGACCAAACCCAGCTACTTCTTACCCCATTGTCTCCATAGCTCTTCTATACAAGCATTTTTAAAAAATGCTTAGAAGTTATTTTCTTTCTTTCTTTGTTTTTTTTTTTTTTGCAGTATAGGGGATCAAACTTAGGACCTTGCTCTTGCTAGGCAGGTATGGTGCCGCTGAGCTACATCCCTGGCCCCTAGAAATTATTTTCTACAGACCACAATGCCCAAAGTAAAATCCAATACATACCAGTTATCTCAGAAAATCTCCACACTGGAAGGTACCTTAGCACCACCAAGTCCTCTGATATAAAATCTCACCTAGAACAGTCTAGCCAAATGGTTTTCTAGCTTTTGCTTGAATATTTTTCTTGATGGAGAAATAGCACCCATGGCATTCATTCTACTCTTTTTGGATTGCTCCATGCTTGGCAAGTTCTTCATCATGCACCAATGATATGGTCCCTGTAGCTCTCAGTTAGTTGCTGGTCCTAGGCCAGTTCTTTGCAGCCATATACGATAAACCTCCCAAGCTATTCACAGGGTCTCAGAGGAAGGCTTGGATGGGCCACCACATAGAGTCATTGTGCAAATTAAAAAAGGGACCCATTCATTCTTCAAGACATTGTACTTCCATCAATTATAAAACTGTCATGCAAATGTAAAAATCTACAATGTTTATGTTGTGAATGGGGAAATAGGGGAGGAAAAGGAAGGAAGGAGCCTCATTCAGTTTGGATCGAGATCCCATAAACTTCTCAGATATGATCATGGACCCTGAAAGAGTAGGAAGGAAGGTGGTACATGCAGATGTGCCTGTCTCGTGGCCTTTACCTGGAGGGCACAGGGAGAGGGCCCAGGGTGGTGAGCTAGTGGCTGTCTATGCTCCCCCCAAGGCTGCCCAAACCTCTCTCTGCAGCTCTGTGGTTTCTGGGCAAGTGGTTTCCAGCACTGCACCACTAAGCATTTATCAGGCTTACCAAATAGAGTTATCGACCACAGTGGGGGAATAAGTGGCTAATCTCCCACTAATGGCAGGAAGGAGGTTACCCCTGAATGCTTTAACCCTTTTGGAAATATAGATCATCTTTGAGAACCTATAAAAGTCATGGAAGGCCTGAACAAAGTCAGGGGCTAGAGGGTCACTGCATACAAACCAGGCCACAAACTCATTCACTGACTGCCCTATCTCTCCTCAGATTCATAAGCAGCCATCCCCATCCTCTGGGTTATCAGTGAGGAGTGGACACTCCCCATGTGTTCATGAAGCTTCTCAGAGGTAAGGCCAAGTTGGAGCTGAACGAATGCAGAGGTGGGAAGCCCTAGGCAGCGAGGCAGGAAACACATGGCTTACTTAGATTGATATCCACTCCTTATCAACAATTATT